TTTTTTTATAGGTCGGGGCATACCATTCTGCTGCTCACAAAAAAAATCATCTTGAGAAATAGAAAAGAAAAAAACCCCGTAGATACTTGAATCATGTGCTTACGAAACTACTGACCGGACAAACTAACAAATTTAAGTGTCTTATAGTCGTACCATGGCGAATGTGTCGACCGTCTCCAACAACGCACTGCGAAAAATGGACTCTTCTCGGTGGTGCACTGTATTTGTGAATCGCCCGTATTGAACCAATGTTATTTGAAATTGCAGCTGCTATTTACTTACATTGTACATTTACATGTGGGCAAAAGCATGTACATGTACAAATGTATACTATACATGTACAACCATACTGTTTTTTTTATGTGTATCCTTGTGGAGACATTTCTTTTCTCGTGTACTAAAGTTTTCGAGTTTGAAAGTACAGTTTCAAAATGCTCTTATTTTAAGCACAATTAATTTCCTTGGCCGAAATTCGGAATTAATATCCCTTTTCTAAAACTCTATCATTTGCGACGGATCAACATACCTTGGAAATTCCTAGTTTTTTAGTAAAATCCACATCCTTGTGGAGACGTATTCATCTATAGAAATTGCCCTGTTTTGTTCCTATTGTGTGCATGTCTCCAGAGGGCACGGTGTATCAGATATGAGTGTTTGGATACAACTGTACACAATTATAGCTATGACAAGCGCAGAAAAATGCACTCGAGTGCAAATTTGTAGCATTTACAGCCCTGACCTGTACCAAGGATACATGTAATTCCAAGAAAAATCATTCACAAAAGTATTTTATTTTTGTAGATTTTTCCCTTCAAATTAGCAATACATTTGTTGTCGTGTTAAGTGTGCTTAACAACTCCTTCACTCTGAAGGTGAAGGCTGGTCAATTTCACTGCAATTTACCACTAGACTAATAATTGTCAGGCTCACTGGGCGTACGCTAGTAAAGAAAACGAAGTGAAACGATGTTGACAAGAACCATTCTTACCCAGGTCACATGACACTGACTCATGTTGCAAAACATGATCCTTGTCTGAATGTTGGAACCAGCTGTGTGTAATTTGATAACCCCGGGCGCACTTCCCAGGAGTCCAGGACAGCTCTGCAAGGACTATTCCTCCCAATCATGTGCTGTTTCATATGAAACCAATGACATGCTTTGTACTTTTAGGGCCACCAACCCCATGTAAATGCAAAGCAATTGAAAGCTGGGGTCTTATTAGCTGTTTCGGAGTACATTGCTTCGAAAAGCTCTTGTTTTCGTTAAGATATATATAATTTTTTTAAATTCATTTTTTCTGATAATGAAACCAAGGATTCCTCAAAAGCGCCCCAGGCACTGTAGCTCGCAAGCCTGAAGAAACCTAAAGCAGGAAGACATTGAGAAGAAATTACAGTTTAGTAGAGGTGGGAGGAAAACCCAAGAAGAATATTCTGGGGAAAACACACAGAATCAGGTAGGGACTGAAAACCCAATCCACATGTGGCCAGGGCAGGAATCGAACCCATGTCACAGCGGTGGATGGCGAGGATCTATAGGGCCGCTACGCCAACCTGGCTCCCCATGTCTCACTGCCTCAATCCTAAATAATAATTCTCCAAAAACCATGTCCTCCGGAGTCTTCAGGGATTGGGAAGGATTAAGGTTATATTCCAACACCCTGGTGTGTACTGAAAGTGCATTATTAGGGCTCATCTTAGGATGTGTTGATTCTAAGAAGTGACATTTGTGACTCAACCATACAACATGAGCCGGACGTCGCCTGAGCTTCTAAATTACAGGCCCTTAACCAAATCTTGCACAACGGAAACAATACCTAGGAACTGTCAATATTTTCACCCTCATAATATAATGTCTTTGATCACCAGAATGTAAAACAATGTGACATATCCAAATTAACGGCTGAGTATGCTCGATGCAATGTATAGAAAAGAAATAAGTGAAAAATGTTCTTTCAGAAGATACATGTATCATGTATCTACTAATCTAAGTTTCACAGAATTTGGGTGGCATGCTTTCTTTAGGCTGCATTTATCTTTGTTGTGTCACGTCAGTGTGTGTTGTGAGATAAGCTTCATGATATGACCCCATTGTGAACTCACGTCTTGAGGTGACTCCAGAGTTCATGTGAAGACGCCCAAGCCAACATAATTTAGTTCAATTGAGTACATATGTACCGGTATGTACATTTTGTATGTACAGTGAAAGTAGTAAATTATGTACATATTCCATTGATTGTGACTTAACCTTCAGTGATTTTTTTCAACTATTCTTTGCACGTGTACATGTACATGTATGTAATGATTTTTGGGTATCTTTTTGTTTCCTGGTTCCCTTGCAGAAAACCATTCTCCGAGTCACCAGAATGACGAGATGGATACCAGTGAAGCCAGCATCGACACATCAACATCACCAAGTGAGCAAAATTGCCATCTTTAAAAGATGTATACATACGATCCATAATTAAAGAATGCAACTACATATCAAAAACAGTTGAGTAAAAAAAAATCCAAGAAAGGTGGTCATCTTTTGCGAAGAATTGCACACTTTTTCAAAACATCAACCTTTTTTGTCGAGAACATTTGAATTCTCACAAATTTGGTACATGTAGCTGGACATATTTTTGCTGCATTTCCCAAAATTTTCCACTCATTAAAAAAAACAAAAATAGTGACAAACTTTTATATAATTAGGTCATACATGTTCTCTTTAAATGCTCCCCCATAGTTTCCAACTCATATGTATGCTAAACCGCGAAAATTAATCTTACTGTCAAATTTTTTTTTCACTAATACGTGTATTCTTTTTTTAACTATCCAATTTGTACATTGTCTCTTGATTCCATGATAAGTTTTAGTTCTCAATTTTGCCCTCGGTGACCCCTTCCCAGCCCCTTCCCCAACAAATTTGAGTCCACAATCAATCATATTTGGTTCAGACTCAATAAACAAGATGAGGGTTTATTTGTGAAAGACGTCAAGGGATGGAAAAGGGAAAAGACCTGTGGGCCAAATGTGTCTGTCGCCCTTCCTCTCAGAGGGCTGTGTACTGTATCACAGAGGGGAAACCACTGGGGTTTTATTTATACCTATGGCCCTGCTTGACGTCTGCTATGCCATATTTTATGGGCTAGTGACTGAGGGACCTCCGCTCACACCCCGTCCCACCCACCCCCAGTATGGATAATAAAAAATTAAATTACTAAGAAATACAAAAATAACAAGAAATACAAAAATACTTTTTTTAAATGTTAAACTTAAACTAATCCAGTAATTAGACTTGCTAGGCAACCATAATTTGATGTAGAAGCAATTTTTGGGATGGTACTTGTTCGTGGTGGAGTGGGGGAGTGTGGCCTAGTGTTTAGGGTTTGTGACTCATGCTCAGAGGGTCAGGGGTTCGAATCCAGCTGCTGTTCATATGTTGTGTCCTTGGGCAAGCCACTTCATCCCCACTTGCCTCTTTCCACCCAGGAGTATAAACGGGTACCGGCATTAGCTGGGGAGTAACCTGCCATGGACTAGCATCCCATCCAGGGGGAATAGAAATATTCTTGGTGGTTGCATGCCACTGAAACTGGATATAAACGCCGGCCTGATAGGCCACATTGGCTCGTGACAGACTTTACTTACTTTTACTTGTTCGTGGTGAAGTTCGTACACATGCATTCAGTGCATCCTTGGATAGGTTTGCTAAAAGCGCATGCTAAATTAAATAATCATGAATTTCAGAGTTGTTCAAAATGGGCGTGAGTGAGATGCTACCTCATAAATGTCCGCCAGTTGTTGTCGCCAGCCTAATCTATAAAAGTCCTGTTTTTTTTTAAATTGACAGTATATAATGAAAAGTAAGAGAATGCAGATTTTCATTTGATAAATGAAGATACTTTACGGACTTTATCGCAGTAGTGTAGTCGAGGAACTTGTGTTGGATCAGGAATACATCACAAGGACGGTGAGCACTAATGAAGCCTACATGTACATAAGAATGCCTTAGTCACAGCTGCTTGGAATAGCTTGTGAGTTGGATTTGGAAAGGATGAATTGTGACTGATAACTATGACTAATCACGACACTGCTTTAGTTTGACATGTCAATTCCTTCATTTACTTTGTCTTCACCGCAGTGATTTTTTCTCTCTGTTATTCCCAGCTGAAGCTGGTCAGAAGCTTTCCTACACACAGCCAGCGTTCTGGTGCTCCATAGCCTACTACGAGAAGAACCTCCGCGTTGGGGAGATGTTCCACGCCTCGCAACCTTCGCTGACCATTGACGGGTTCACGGACCCTTCTAGCTCGGAGAGGTTCTGTCTCGGTCTCCTGTCAAACATCAAACGGGACCACTCCATCGAAATGACGCGGAGACACATAGGTATGAAATTGTAACAAAGTCTAATTTGCCCTGCAACTTGTGCACTCTCATTTAGCATTGTATATTCAGTGTTGTCTGAGAGCTTGCAATACAAATTCACAAGTTTTCCCAGCAAGGACTTGAACCCCCACCTGCTGCTTGTTAGTGCAGATGCCTAACCCACTTGACCACTGAGCTTGCCGAGATCAGTTGGAGATGGGCAAACAAACCTGACCCTTGGCTTCTAACATTAGGACCACTGCATGACATTGATCATATGTGTACATTTTGTACGTGTTCATCTTTTCAAACCGTGGACGAAAAATACCAGAGAACAAATGAGAACAATATCGTCCACGATTCCCAGCATACGTCCGCGATTGGGGTCGTGTACAAAACCTATGGGAGTCTTCCTAAAAAGTTCGAGTACAAACAAAAGAGGGACAATAGGACGTCCACGATCGACGGTGAACACATGTTTGTATGTGTAAGCTCCGTGCACAAGTACCCCCTCAACGGTAAGAAAGGGAGAGTTGGGGACACCACAAGGAGAGACATTCGAACGCAATGTTGACGCTCACGCGAAGAGGCCATTGCTTTGTGCACATTCAGAATAAAATAAGTTGCACGTACTTCGCGCTATACATGCTCGCCAGTGTACGCGGGAGGTGTGTCCAGTCAATGGCACTCTCGAAAGTAGTAAAAAAAGTGCCCTCTCTTGTTTGCGCATGGGACGAACAAAAGGTTTACACTTTCCTCTGATGTCATGCTGTCTTCTGTCTGTGTTTTTGAGTTCGTGGTTTATCAAAGCAATACATAACACTCCACCAGCTTTGTCTACGTATATCTGTTTGTTTTCCTGTTTTGATGTGTTTCCTGTAGTCTCTAGCTCTAGCCTGTTTGGGCAACCGTGCCTATTTGAGTGTGATCATTAAAGTTACGGCTTACCAGTATTCAAAGGTGGTCATTTTGCTGGCACTGTCTAAAATCATGAAATCTTCAGTGAGCCATTGAAAATGTGACACTGCACCTGTGGATCGCTTTTCGTAAACTGATTTAAAAGTTAATAATATTATGTGGAGGAAGATACTGGGACCAATTACGTGCAGTTGAAGAGCATGTTACCAGCTGAAATGCCATTTGTTGGCGGAACTTTGCATAGCGGTATTTCCTGCGTTTGTGCTCCGTGCGCAAACAACCGAGGGTGCTTTTTTACCACTTTGGAGAGCTCACTAGACGGGACACGCTGCGCTCGCGTACTGGTTCACGCATGTATAGCGCGAAGTACTCATGAGTAATTTTATTGCGAATGTGCACAAAGACATTGTCTGTGGCCATTGGCAATGCGTTCGAATGTCTCTCCAGGCAGTGGTCCACCAAACTCTTTCTTTCTTACCGTTTGGGAGGTGATTGTGCGGGGGCGCTCGTTATCCCCTGTCCTAGATTTCAATTCCTCGCCTAAGACCTTGAGAAATTCTTCCAAAATATTATGACACAGGCAGAGAGATACTAATTGTGCAACATCTTGCAGTTGGGGGAAATGTTACATGTACTTCGCGTGATTATGAATGTCCAAGTAGGCCGAGCCTGGCACGCTTCCTGAAAACATGGTGGGGAAGCAATTAAATTTGATCAGTCAAGTCCGCTAATTGGCTCATTACGGCAAGGACGGAACAGCTTTCAATCTGGTAGGGTACGGTACATTAGGCATGTATCTGGTTGACTTTTTGAAATTGAGAAAGGGAAAAAAAATGCAGTAGTGTGGACCTGTAGGTACTGAACCAGGATCATACTGAACCAGGATCATAAGGACAGGATTTGAACGAGGATCATCAGAGGGTATTAAAAAAATGCGTAACACCAATCTCACATCTCTGAATCGATGATATGTGCGGCGTTCTGGCAAAATAAGACAGAACTGGGCCGAGGTCAAAATGAGGGTTTGCAGGTATTAAGAAAGAGAATATAATTCTCCTGACAATACTGCTAGTTGCACTTCAATCGGATGTGCCGTTGACAAGTTATGGCTGTTTAAAGTTTGCATTTATTGACAGGTCAAAAAAGTAAAATACGGAGAAAAAGACCTTTAAAGTTTCGAGTTTTGTGTTCATGAAAAATGAAAGATGCCAACTTTTTTTACTGAATGAACACTTTTTATTGTTTTTCATATTATTACCGTACATAAATATGTGTGGTGGATATATCAAAGATTACAAATATATCAGAAAATCTGAAAATCAAAAATAGATCATCCCCAATCTATTTTCTTTTTGCAATTTTCTTCACAATAGCCCGTGCCAACTGCCGTCTCACTTTGCCACAACACCCCACATATGTCAAAAACATTTGTCAAGAAAGAGGGAACAAGACTGCCATACCATTCCTTCCAAAAAAAAAAAGTAGGGCATCTTACAAGGGTTAAAAGTACCAGTCCGTAATTCCCTGTACATGTATGTACCAAAAGTCAGCTCCATCTAATCAGTCCTTCATCCAGTATCAAGCTTTATCCTGTTTTCCGGAGGTTTTCAAAGTCCCCCTCTCTTTCCTTACCCCCTCCTCACTCCTGCCCCCCATGTGAACCCCGAGTAAACCCTTATCATCTACTCGGAACAAGTCTCGGGCCTTAAGAGTTGATCTCTCCTTTGGTCTGCTTGTGCTTAAGACCAAGATCCATGTCTCCCCATTAATTCCTCTTCCTATACCAAATAAGAATAAGAAATTGGTGAAATCCGATCGGTGCAATATCGACTACTTTCTACATCTGTTCCGTCTAGTCAGGGTCAGTTGAGGTTTTTATTTGGGGGGGGGGGGGTAGGGGGCAGGAGGAAACGTCTTGAAAACAGGAAATTCCATCACATTTAATTTGATTTTGAAGAGAAGCTGTGGTCTGCTCTTGTCCCACCGTTGCCACAGACAGCAATATTGTGTGACCTTGGAAAAATTGGAAGAACTTTTTTTTCCAGAAGAGGGCACAAATCAAAATGGATTAGTTCAGCTGTCCGTTCAAGTTCATCACAAATCAACAGCTTAATATAACACCGACTTGATTGCACTCATGTTTTTCCCAAGGGTAGCTGTCATGTGACAGAAATGTGTCATTTCAAAGTTTAATGTGTGATTTGGGGACTTCCAAAATAGAAAAAAAAAAGAAAACCAAAATAAAGTCCCAAAACCAGCTCTTCATAAAATTTGCAGAATATTGCAGTCTTGGATCCTTACTGATCCTATGCACTTAGCAAGGATATTTGGTAAATTTGGTTCACATAAATCTTCCAAAGTGTAGAATTGAAAATATAAGTATTTACATTTTTCTTCACATCCACTTGACACTACAATAAAACTTACAATTGTCCCCACCCGTACATGTACGTCATATCGCACAGATCTTGTGCCTTTCCTTTTTTTTGTGTTTTGGATTCTCCACATGGTTTCATATTCTGGCTCAAGATTAACACTTTCCCTCTTAATACAGAAGTTTATCTGCAGTATAAATGGAAGTTAACACAGATCCATTGCTCAGTCTGAAAAAAATTGTTTCAAAGCTGTCTGTCATAACTTTGTTTAAACAATATTTTCTATCTTTCTCTGTTGTCTGCATTTCAAACAGGCAAAGGAGTGCGGCTGTACTACATAGGAGGCGAGGTTTTCGCAGAGTGCCTGAGCGACAGCAGTATCTTTGTACAGAGTCCGATCTGCAACGTCCGCTACGGCTGGCATCCTGCTACCGTTTGTAAAATACCACCTGGTAAGTCCATCATCGGACAAAATAAACTAATGTTCAGGCTGTCATACAACACTCCGACAACTTCCTGGCAATGATCGAGTTTCAATTTGTGTAAATCATCGAAACCTTTTTGTGACATTTATTTTGACAGTTGGTGACTTCTGAGAAACGAGAGTGAAGTCAGGTTTCAGTCTCAGTTATCTCCTATGATTGATCTAAGTCCTAATTCTGTTTTCAAGGTTTTGTGCAATTTGAAAGAGCTTTTCCCTGTATATCCGGTCATATTAAAAATTCAAAATGTCATTTTTGTTAAAAACTATCCTTTTGTAAACGGCAGACACCTTTGGTATTAGTACAAAAATAAAGTTGTCATGAAAGAGCTAACACAAATATAAAAAAGGTAAGTTTGAATAATGGTGGGATGATCATATGTTTGTCTGTAAAAACTTTTGGCTCTAAAAACTTCATGGACTTGTGTTCCCATTGGGATTACAAACAGACAATAGACATGCCTTTAAAAGAAAGAACATTTTGTACATTTTAAATCGTTTCCAAGCTAAATGGACACGATTGAATCTAGGAAAGTTGACAAACGAGTAGTGTCACGGTGTCACCATAAGGTGGGAATACGAGCAATTTCCCTCACTTGGAAAATCATTGAGTGAGTTTAGTGTCTCGGCTGGAAGACTTGTTCTGTAACAAGTGTGAGTTTGTTTGCAAGAATGCCGGACGGTACTGTTGCCAACTTGACAAGGATTTCCCTTATTTAACTGCTGCATTCCAGCATGTAGTCTCCTTAAATATGCATGAGGTGTTTGTATGAGAACGTCTTGAAGTCTGGAAAAAAAGGTCACAAAATTGTTCCCCCGACTCTCTCAATGACGACACATTGTCTTTCTAGACTATGTAATTGAACTGGAAGTAACCTCGTTCCGTTGACCCTAAGATGAAAAAAAAATAAAGAAAAAAGAACACACAGACACACTTTGACCCATCTACGTAGGTGTACCCGTTGGCATGTGGAAATCCTTTTCCTTTGCTTTGCCAACCCGACCTCATGTAACGCAGAGGCAGTTCAAAGCAGAAATGTTGAATTCATTAACATTTTGGAGTCTCGGCCGAGTGCAGACATCCTTAACTCTGACTGCGTCCAAATCCTTTTGAAATCAAGCACCTGGAGCTAATTCCACAGTGCTGCTAGTTAGGCCTGGGCGAGTAGTGGAATTTTTTTACTCCAATACTTGTAAAGCAATTACTCGCAAAGACTGTTTCGTGATCAAACAAAATGGTACACAAACAGAGCCGTCATAAATGCTGTTATTATCATCGTCCCAGATGTTTGAATTATTAAAAATGATTAATTATTAAAAATCGATCGTACGTTTATTGCGCAGCTGCGCAACAAATTTGTTGCCCAAGTTCTACACATGTCGTAAGCTACGCAAACTTTGTGAAATCGACTGGACAACGGAGCTACCTTTGTTGAAGTACAAAGAATGTGCAAGGGGACAATCACACATTCCAAGGGGAAAATGGGGGCACAATCCTCGTGTAGACAAGTAATGAAAGCAAAAGTGTTGTCCAGATACAAGCTGAGAACAAAACATGTGTGCAGGGGCTAAGTAATCCTTGATTGCGTGGAAAAAAAACATGACTAGATTTGTGAAGTTTCCATTTGGGACGTTTGTACTCAATCAGTTTATCAGTTTGTGACTTATAGTCAGTCAGAGGACATTAGATGGCCCTTGGGTCAGCACACACATCCAACTTTTCTCCCTGTTATGCCAAAGAGGGGAAAACTATGAAAGTACTTTCCTAGATCTGAACAAAGGCTTTGAGATTTGGTCAGAATCCCCCCCGACTTCCTCCTTCACTGATTAAGTCGGGTCTTTTGATGGTGATTTACCGCATCCTCTCTGCCTAGGCTGACGCCTTTCGCATGCATACATCCGAGGCAGGATCCCTGTCGTAGGAGTGGGGACATCCGGAGAAACACAGCGAGAGAGACAGACAGAGAGGGAGAGATTCGATTCTTGATGGGGAGTTCCTTGTCTTCAGGATACCCTCTGGGAATTGGGGAGACATTCGTGCTTTCCTGTCTTGTTACCATGACAATTATTCAATATTTTTGTGGGGGGGGGGGGGGACGGAGTTCCTAATTTGTTTTTTTATTTTTTCATTTTTTAAATAAAACACCTCGTCTCCATCTTTCTGATCTTACTTTTGTGAATACTACATGTACACTGTAATTGCTGCATTTTGAGATGAAATGAACCAATACACTGCTATTCGGGCGATTCACGATGCATTGCGCCACCAAGAGTTTGCCGTGGAGAGTCCATTTTTCAAGTTTACGGTCGACAAAACATGGCCCGTTTGATTGAGTGTCAGTAGACAACTTGAGCTAATTTGTTATAGATTGGGGAAATAGCGTTCTGCCGCCTTACAAAAAACACCATATTGATAAAAAGAAAAGAAAAGGGCAAACACATACTCGAATCGTACGCTTGCGAAACTCCTTACCGGAAAAACTAATAATTTCAAATGTTCCGCGCTGCAAATTTGTCGAACATCTCCCACAATGCACTGGGAAAAATGAACTCTCCGTGTCAAACTCTTGGTGGCGCACTGCATCGTGAATCGCCCGAATTATATGACACACTGTAACTGAAGTACACGTGCACGTATTTCCAAAAGTGACTGACTTTTAAAAGAAACGGTGCGATGTATTTTTATGCACAGCAAATGGAGGACCGTGCTTTTGTTTGGTTTGGAAAGGCAAAAAAAAAACTCTCTAGACTTCAAGCCGCTGCAAATAGCAGTAATACTAACACTACAGTCCATACAAAATTCTCCTGATAACAGGCAGAACATACTGTCCAAAATATTGAGTTAACACCTTTGATTTTCTAAGGACCATTTTATTTTTACAAGACCATCACAAACTGCTCAGGCAAACATATCCTATAAATCCAAGTTGTTTCTTTTAAAAAACAAAAACAATATAAAATGCAATTTAGACCGGCTATGAAAGCCTAGCCACCCCTGCCGGCAGTCATGGCACTTTAATGCTAAGTGGTATACACCTTTCCGTTGCTTTAATTTGGATATCCTGGTCTTGTTAACCGTGCCTGGTTATTTTGTACTTTGTGGATTCATTGAAGGCTACACCACTAGAACCTTTTCTTCATGGCCAAAGAGTGGAATTAATCAGGGGTGTGAAATCTCAGCTTAAAAGCTGATTTCAGCTTTTTTTATTTTGGATTTCAGCTTTTGTTCCCTCACTTGCTGTGTACAAAAGTATAGGAGATTTCCAGAGTTCAGCTTTTTTACACCTTTTTCAGCTGTTTTCAGCTATTTTTATCAGTGGCCACTCACACCCCTGATTAATGGAAAAAAAGTACAAACTGTGATTTTGATATTTTTTTTCAGTTCTGTTGACCTCGCCAGGAAAATACAAAACACCTGCCAAAAAAAGAAAAAACCTCAAAAATGATTGAAGCAAAGTTTTGAAAATAATGACAAATGAATGTGAATTGATTTCAGCCGTTCATTGTCAAATCGAGGTTGTCTTTGAATGTTCACAATTTGTTTCAGTGGAGGGCAGTGTTATAGGTTTGACGCAAGAAAAGTTGTCGTGAACAGACAATATTTATATTGCTTCATCAAAAGTTCAAATGTCATGTTAGCAACAAGCTCCCCACTTTTTTTTTGGGGGGGGGGTTTCAGGGGTTAAAACCCAACATCTTCTGTTTGTGCATTTCGAGTGGAATATTTGGCCGTTTTGTCCCTGCTGGAATTGCTTCCTCTTTAGCAAGCAACAAAGTTCTGCCCAGGCACTTTTGTGTGGCTCAGGATGTTAGTGGCAGACTCCGGGTGATTGGCCATGTCTCTTCCCTCGGATGCAGTAATTGGATACATTGGAGTGAAAGTACGTGACACGGGCCACGCTGCGCTGAGATCAATTATCACCCCCTCGTGTGCCGTTTCCTCAATGACAGTGTAGCAGTGTAAATGGTCTCCACGGAAGACACTGACATGCATATGAACCTGCATGTATTAACCCTCCTGCTATTTAAACAGTCACAGACAGTCAAAATTTCCATCCACTTCCCTTGCTATACTTTTTTAACAATTAGGAATATACAACATTTGCTTTTGCTATAATTTTCAGAAACGGATATCTTTGTATTGGGGTTAGTATTTTATAGCAAATATTGTTACACCGTCTTGTTTGAAGTTTTGTGTTCGTAGATGCTCGAAAAACCAGGAAAAATTACATACCTGTAGTCTGGTTCCCTGACCCCACTTATTAGATGAAACGGAGCAATTTATAGACGTCGGGAAATTGTAAGGTCAGGGAACCAGTCTAGCTGGATTGCACCCGTTCACGGATGTGTAACCAATTGCAAACAAAATGTGGACTGAATGAATTCGGTAAATGGAGTCGAGTCGAGTCGCCAAAAATTGTGACGCGAGTCGGACTCGAGTCGAGTCATTACAAGTCTGGTTTCTATTCATATCACTTGATCATGATTCTCGTTACACACTGGAACATTTGTTCATGGCTTTTGTTGCAAGGTTATCCAATAAGCTTCAAGAACAGGTGGTGCTGGCTAGGCTGACTATTTTTTACTTTTGAACTTTTAGTTTATTTATTTTTCTCTCTCCGGATTTGGTTTGAACAACCTTTTTTTCCTGTAAGTGGAAAACCACCAAATGGATGATGCTCAGTAACAGGTGCATACGCGTTAACAAATCTAACCGAACTTGTGGGATGTCAGATAAAGGAAATGTTTTGCCTATTGCTTGCAAGGAGGTATTCCTGGCTAATTTCATTTGACATATCCCGCCGTGTGGTAGTGGTACACGTACACATGTCTGAAAATAACACAACATAAACAGCGTACTCCAATTGTCCACATGCCAGACCTAACTAGACAAAATCATTAATTAGGGGGGGGGGGGGGGGAGGGAATTCCAGCGTTGTGAAATGAAGTGTAATGTCCGTAACGGAGCCAATTAACCATGCTATCTAATTAATGATTTAGAGAAATGATCCAAAACCCCTAGTCTGTAATCTTCTTGACCATAACTAGATGATGGACGAAAAAGATTAGAAAAATACATTTTCAGATTTATTCACTGAGCTCTTAAAACTGTGAATACAGACATCACATAGCACTGGAATTACCCACGAGGAAAAATATAGTCCCTTTCCATCAAAAGCAAAAGCAATGTGGCAGACAACACCAAGAAAAGGGGCATCTGTACATAGTGATTGGTGAAGTCTGAAGGTCGTGGGCTTGACATCAGGTTTCTGTTTTTTTTGTTTCCTTTTCTTGTCTTTAGGCTGCAACCTGAAGATTTTCGACAACAGAGAATTTGCGGCCCAGCTCTCTCAGTCCGTCAGCCAGGGCTTTGAGGCGGTCTACCAGCTAACCCACGTCTGCACCATCCGCATGAGCTTCGTTAAAGGCTGGGGGGTGGACTACCGGCGGCAGACGGTTACCAGCACCCCGTGTTGGATCGAGGTGCATCTCAACGGTCCCCTGCAGTGGCTAGACAGGGTCTTGCGGCAAATGTCCTCGCCCAATGAAAAGTGTTCCAGTAGCTCCTGAAAACAACGGTACTGCCGTTGGTAAGAGACTATCACGTGTTTGAGTACTTTGCAGGTATAGTGCTAAAAGTCTCGGTCGAGTCAGATGGCATGACTTAGTGCTGACAAGTGGAATAAATCCATTGTCATTGGCACTCAGTACCCGTTTCAGATTAGCATTCCAGAGTCTAATTGTTCCAAAGATTGGAATCACAGACATGACAAGTTTGACCGCTGCACTCACTTGGAGCGACTCCAAAATCTACTTAACCAGGCATGCAACTTTTCCTTGGATCCACTGATTTCCTCGTTTTTTACTTCTCATGAATGCCAGTTTTGTGTGGTTTGGAATTTCCTGGGTTTTTTTCTTCAAAATTCCCTGTTGCAAAGTTCATCTGGCTGCAATCACAATCTATTTTGGTCGGCCGTTTACTTTTGGCTCGGCGCGACTGTGGAATGCCAGTCTGTTGAAACTTTTTCCGTGTCTCATGTAAATGGTTTGAAAGGGGAGTCATGATGACATGTCTCACTGGACCAGAGTCTCGCACTCTCGATGAGGAATTTTTTAAGTCAGCGGGTTATCCAAAGAAAACCCACTCATTTTTATTTTCATTATAAAAAAAACCAGAAGAAATGATTGTGTCTACTGAGTTTTTTTTTTCTTGACATTAACTCTACCACGACTCCAAAAATCCTCCAATTTTCATACGATTTATCACCCACCCAAGGGGGTTAGGATTCAATTATTTCATAGATTTTGAATTCACTTTGAAACAGTTAGGAGGGACTTTCCGCACATGATGTCGTAAGATGGAAAGTTGTAGTAAAATTGAAATTAATGCATTAAAATCGTCTGTCTGAAACAAAGTAAAAAAACCCTCAGTTTTTGGTCAGACTGAGCCAGTGAGACTCTGGAATGCCAGTTTTAAAACAGGTGTTACATGTAATTGAAAACTGGTGTTAAATCCTGTGAAGTATTCAAACACGGTGACCGCACCTTACCGATGGTTCAAATGATCGTTTTGTTTGTTGCACCTGTGTACAGATTTATGAAAGTGTAAATAGACCACTCACTGATCAATAAACAGTGCGGGCCACACTAAAAGCCAACACCATTTTGATGTAAAAGTTTATCTTAGCTAAAAAAAAAAGTGTTTATATTGTACAAAGTGCATGCCGAATCGATGAAATTTAATATATGGCCAGCCAAAAAATAAAAGTCACAAATACTGCCTGGCCTTTTGTTCGTTTGTTTACATTTAATTGCGATCAACAAATGTAAATACAGATAGATTGAAAAAATAGAAGTATTTTGCTAAATGTAAGTTTTGGATAACCTTGCTTTTTTATGCAAGAGTTGATAATGTCATTTATTTGACAATTTAAATTTTTTTTTTTTTACTGATGGAATAATATGACAGCACTAGGAGTGTTTGCAGTTAGATCACACAAAATCGTGTGCATGTACACTCTTGAAAAAAAAAAAGCTTGACAAATTAAAAATGCTTTGAAATATAATCTGCATTTATAATTCAAAAGGGAAATATTTTTTTAATGTGCCCACCTAACAGGCAGATCGTTGAAAGAGAAACACGTGTACATTTGATTCACTCGTACCCCCCGCTCTGTAAACAGGACGCTGAGAAGGGCTGATCTCTTCGAGCTCTCATTGGATAGATTTTGCATGACCTGTGACGTACATGCAGCACTGCTGCTGTTTATCATATGTAGCGCGCGCAAGCTGCATGCGGAGGTCAAGTGACCCATAATGCCATCCGTACTTCCTTCACAAGATTCTGTGAAGTGGCATCAGCCTTTCCCAGTGCCCTGTTTGCAGGGCGAAGGGTACGAGCGAATACATTTGAATGCATTGTTCACGGTTGCTGTTGTGCCGCAGCAAATGTTTTACAGCCGGGTATGTTTGCCATGTAAACAAATGAATCCGTTCTCTGCTTGTTTTTGTAAACAGAATTTTGTACAACACACTTATAAATCAATTGATTATTGTAACAGGAGGACACATTTTGTTTTCGTTTACAAGAGCAAAAGGTCAAGTTTTTTTAGTCAAGTTGGAAATTAATTACACAGCACATTTCATAGAGTTGCCTGTATTTACTTGCTTTTTTTTTAAACCTTTGATTTTATGAAAACTTTTGACATTTCTTAAACATGGACAATGCTGTGCTTTTCTTTAATTGTAAATCTTGCCATCTGTAACAATTTTGTTTAATTATATGGAGCCATTTATACTATTTCTACACTTGTAGATAAGGTGTCACATGGTATTTCTCCTTTCTTGTCTTTTTTTTCCAAGCTGCAGCTTTTTATAAAAAAGAGTGAAACCAACAAAAAGAACTAGTTCTCCACAGAAAGTGTTTATAATTTGTTGATTTGATAGCGTAAATATATGTATTTTTATCAATCCTAATAAAAAAAACAAACTCTACATCTCATTTTAGTTTTATGTATAAATTATTCTTTTATATATTGTTCGTTTGCAAGGTTTATTGTGTTGATTAAATACAGCTTTGCTTTTATTATCAGCTCCCTGTGTGAACAACAGAGGGCGCTGCAGTGCAGCCGTAAGGAGAGTTAATAGCGATAGTTCCCTGTCTGTTACAGTTGGAACCAGGCTTTTATCATGTGACCCTTATATTTTGAGTAATTTAGGCAAACAGTCAACAAAATCTGTGGGTACTTTATTTTTATACCCTGTTAACATCAATGAATCATTTCAAATTGAGGGGAGTGTCTTACATTGTTTGCTTAAGGGTGGTACGTATCAGAATCGCAAACTGCCAATGTATTCTTTAAATCTGTATTCATGTTTTTCTAGGAGTTGTTTACCTATACAGCGTCGTGCAAGTTGTGAATTGGGTTTCTCCATGGGGTTGTTGATATGAAAACATTCAAATTAAGCTTTTTTGAAGTATGGCCGACTCAATAAGAGGGCGCTGTTTGGATTTTGTAAACTCTTGTATTTATTCAAATTTACCCGCTTCAAATAGCGGCCTCCTCTTGTGTCCGCCATACTTCAAAAAGACGAATGAATTGATCCAAACAAACAATTGTTCAGTGTTGTTCCATCAGTGGCGCAGGAAAAAAGTTTGGAAGTTGACAGACTTTCTCTTAATACTCAAACACTTTGATCGCAGTATACAAAGTCTATGGAGAGTCGAGTGCATTTTCAACGTATTTTCTAACAAAATTGAACAGGAAACAAACTTTCATGCTTGAAAATTGGAAGTGTTTCTTAGTCAAAGATTTGTCTTTTCAACATGACTGCAATGACTGACCTTCATTGAGATAATTTTTTTTATATATGATTGAAACAGTGGCGTCAGGATGCAACATTCTTTCCGACTTTTTTTTTCAGTAGCAGCTTTACATGTGTACATTTTACGTTTGTTTATTTTTACTGTGTCCTGAGAAGACACTTTATCTGGAATACAATTAGAAAGTCTTCGATTGTGAATGCAAGGTGTCATGATCGTCTAAGACTTAGCCTGTTAAGGGGTAACACTTAGTTTTATGAATATTTTAAAACTTTTCAGTCGGAAGTAACGAGGACCGTGTTTAAGATGAAAGTAAATTGAATTGAGGGCTCAGAAAGGAACTTGGTCAGATACTTGCTCGGTTCACTGCCTATATAAAGTGATTCTCAGAAGAGTAACTGAGATGGAAATTAACTTTCAAAATGGTTTGCTACTTCTGTATTAAAAAGATACATATTTCAATTTAGTTGAATTAAAATCACCTTTGAAAATCAGAGTTAAAAAAAATGCTTTGTTCTTGTGGAGTTTTCAAGAGAGCATAATAAAGAACTAATTTTGTTGGTGCACAATGACAATATTTGAATTTTTATGTTTGCTTGCGAAAAAAAGTTCCAAAGATGTGGTTTTATTATTATACGTCTATGTAATGCTTTTCTGCACGTTGTGTTGCCTAGATGTTAAGCTTGATTATTCTTATAGTATAAAAATCATTGAGGTCCTTGCAGTGAAGGGTCTTCATTACCTACACACTTATTTCATAAATTATGTCAAAAATAAGTGGAACAAGCTGTCGTCAAAACGAATGACACTGAACTAAAACGAGACATTTCACACCCTTTTGTTATAATTCTTACCACACCATACTTTTCCAATTTATTGTAAAGCAGTGTTTTACAAGAAGCAGGCAGCCAAAAAAAGCAGACTTTTATTTTGTTAACCTGTTTATACCTGTACTGCTTATACTGATGGTCAATAAAAGTGCATGCATTATGCCTAACATGGTAATATGCATGCTTTTTGTAAAAGTCGCGCTCGTTGTCTGTCGCTTGGTTGTCTTTGTTGGAGATCTATTCGATATAAGATTTGAGGCTTTGCATGGTGGGGTATCGGTATCGTTTCGGTTTTGCGGTAACACCATGTGGTAATAACTACTGCTTAGAAGATATTAGTTCTGAGAAGAACTTGTCCTGCTTATTATCAACTTGCTAAGTAGTTTTTTTTGTTTTTGTTTTGTTCTGTTTAGAACAGTCCTGCTGTAAGTTCTAAAAGAACTTGTCTTTGGTCTCAACGTTTCGACTAGCCTGCTCTAGTCATCGTCTCCTGACCAAAAAAACAAAAAACTACTTAGCAAGTTGATAATAAGCAGGACAAGTTCTTCTCAGAACTAATATCTTCTAAGCAGTAGTTATTACCACATGGTGTTACCGCAAAACCGAAACGATACAGATCTATTCGAGTTTTACATTTGTAATTAGGCCAAGTTGGACGATGACTCTCAATGAGACTTTTCTTGGATGAGGATTGGGAGTCACAGAGGGTGGGTAGGGGTGTGGGTAGAGAGGGGATAGGGGTTTTGGGTAGAGAGGGGGTAGGGGTGTTGGGTAGAGAGGGTAGAGGTGTTGGGTATGGAGGGAGTAGGGGTGTTGGGTAGGGAGGGAGTAGGGGTTTTGGGTAGAGAGGGGGTAGGGGTGTTGGGTAGAGAGGGGGTAGGGGTGTTGGGTAGAGAGGGTAGAGGTGTTGGGTATGGAGGGAGTAGGGGTGTTGGGTAGGGAGGGAGTAGGGGTTTTGGGTAGAGGGTGGGTAGGGGTGTGGGGTAGAGAGGGAGTAGGGGTTTTGGGTAGAGAGGGGGTAGGGGTGTTGGGTAGAGAGGGTAGGGGTGTTGGGTAGGGAGGGGGTAGGGAGGGGGTAGGGGTGTGGGGTAGAGGGGGTGGGTGGGGAGTTGGTGGGACTGGGAAAGCAGTTTTTCAGTTGGGACTCTTGTGACCGGACGACTTTGAAATATAAATTATATATTTGTCAACATACCACAGGTTATTTGAAAGTATTAAGTGTGAATTGTTATTACTAAGTAACTCATTCCGTCTTAACGAAAAAGAACACCCGCCTTTATTGCAACGATCTGCAGTCCCACCACTGACAATAATTAATGAGAGTGGCTTTCAGATATGTCAGTTGTTTAATTAATACACACACTGGATATATTTGGAGAATTGGCAATTTTTTGTTTGCGAGTCATAAAATTATGAAGAAAATGCCATCAGGGAATGTGGAGAATTGGGAAATGAACGTTAGCTTATCCACATTATGGAAATGAAACTTCAATGACAACTTATTTTATAACTGCATATGGAAGCACTATACATGTACATGAATTAATTTTAAAAATAAATTAAAGTTTGTTTTGAAATATGAAAATTCTTTACAAAGACACAATCATTGTCAAACTTTCACTCAAAGGCAAATTGTTCATTGAAATTGACATTCACAGTCAAACATTTCATCAAAACTTATATAAGTTTATGTTGTCTCGAAAATTTAAAAAGAACAATGCACCCAGTATGCATAAAATAATTGAATTTTCACCATTTTCCAGCACAGCACAACACACACAAACCAGCAGGTTTGTTTATGGTGTCAATCAAGGATTTTCTGTTGTTCCTCTTCAGCTTTTTGTTTATACTAACTTTTCTGCAACAGCTCCAATTGGTTTTGTACACGTTTTCCAATCGAGGTCGTCCTCGATTTGACTCCTGTCCTCAATGACTCGATGATGCTTGGTAAGACATGTGTGTTCTCGATTTACACCATAAACAAACCCACAGACACATACCCCCCCCCCCCAATACACCCAAGTTTGATCAACTTTGATTGGTTTTGCAGAGAAAAACAACGCATTTGGTAAAAAAGCAATGAAGTTCAGGAATGGCCTTTATTAATAAAAAGTCCACACAATCAAGACCACAGAAAACTACTCGTTGGCAAGAATATACTTTGACATCGAAGTTCGGAAATGCCCATCACCAGTAGCTCATCACAGTTAAAGTGCCCGGTGATTCAGGAGAGGCCGTAACCAGACGTGTATCATTCATCCACATGATGTGCAGTAGACTCGGATTCCGGTGAACAACATTCAATAGGTCACCATTTTTGGCATTCCAGACTACGATTTTCTTCCGATCGCCGCCGGATACCAGTCTGTCGCCAAGGAGACACATGCAACGTACCACTCCGATGTGCTCCCGCATTACGCTAAGTAGTTCCCCTGCGTGGGACCACAATCGTATTGAACTATCTGCTGATCCCGATGCGATGACGTCGTCATTGAAGCATAGGCAGTACACGTCTCCGTCGTGACCCTGTAATGTCCTCAAACATTCGCCGGACTTTGTGCTCCAAACTTTGACCAGACCATCACCACTACCGCTCACCACAACTCTCTCGTCGAACTGACAACAGAACACGACTTCAGTGTGCCCCTGTAAGGTATGCAGGCACTCCCCGACATGACCAATGTCCCATAACTTCAGTGTCATGTCCCAAGATGTACTGACGACAAGGCTGCCCCTGCAACTCAATGCCTCAATGTCATCACTGTGTCCTCGAAGTATCTGAGTACAGATTCCTCGAGACAGGGACCACACCCTGATAGATCTGTCGCTGGAGGCACTGATGACATTGTCTCCCTCAATACAGAGGCATTCAACACCTCTCTCATGGCCGGTAAACACCATCTGACACCGACCAGTCCGTGTGTCGTAGACTCGGACAAAGCCATCCGAGCATCCTGTCACGACGACGTCATCCTTCAGTCTCAAGCACGTCACCGCATCAGTGTGTCCATCTAACACGCGAGTACAATCGCCGCTTATGAGATTCCACACTCTGACAGTCTTGTCCACACTCCCGCTGACCAGAACGGTTCCGTTGCAGTCCAAACACGTCACTTTCTCCCGGTGCCCGCGCATCACCGGTGCCACGCGGTATCGTCCTCTGCACCAGTTGCGTTCAAGGTGCCACGCCCTCATGTAAACCTGCTTCCAGTTGCAGGTGGCGGACAAGAATGCGGGCTCGGTTAAAATGTTGTCGAAGTGAAAAGTCGGGGTGGTGTGCGAGATGTCTGTGAAGGATGGGCTGAATGGAGTTTCTCGACTCAGGTCGACAACTTTGTTGTAACGTTCCCATCTTCTCCGTTTACATAACCAATGCCACAATACATCATTGTTTGTCCTCTCTCTCCACACTCGAGAGCATGCTGCAGCACGACACAGGTCCTCAGCAGACAGAAAGCTAAATATCCTTTCCGTTAGCTCTTCTGGGAGCAATCCTGGGATGTCCAGGGTCAGGAATGCTTTCACATCGTCAATCAACGATGCCGACAGGACAATTTTATCTTCTGTTTCATTCATCGTATTCACTGTCCGTAATTCATCAGGGATGTTGCCTGCACTTTGTAGCCCTTTATTGCATTGTCCGTCACTCTGAAATTAAGGAAATGTTCTTTTCATTAGTAACAAAAATTAACAAATTCTTCAAAACAAACAAGAGTACATCAGGTTTACTTTATCCACTGTTATGTTAGCCCTATTCTATAGTCACACACTGGAAACTCTGCAGGCCTTGCAAATGAGAGCACAAAAGTTGGTAAAATTATGGCATTTTTTCATGAAAATATTTCAGCCTAGTAGTACTGGGCATGGGAGTTCTTTTTTTCACCAAAATTATCACTGTCCAAGGGTTCCTTTTGGTTAAATTTCTCTTAATTTGCCACTCTTAATGTGCATTTGTCAAATTGTGTGCATTCACGATTTCAATTTGTGCAATCACAATTTGAATTTCAAGCAAGATGGCCATGAATGATGGCGGTATCCGCTAAACGGCTTCATCATGCACTGACTGTACTACTGCATGCAATGTCCGAGTAGGACTCTACGAATCGCCTTTTTAACATTTGGACATGGTCCGGCGATACTATCGGCCCATTCTACCTCCATGCTTGAACATTCCTTGCTCCATGGTTGGACTAGCCCCACTAGTGTGGCCGTCGGTATGCTGCGCTGAACCTAAGGCCACACACCGTGGTCCGCGCACTACTGAGGACGTTTTCATAAAATTTGCAGGGAATTTCTTACATATGGTTTAGTCCGAGTAACTTGGACCCAACTTATCGCCTTTTTTAACATTTGGACATGGTCTGGCGATATCGCCAGACCATGTCCAAATGTTAAAAAGGCGATAAGTTGGGTCCAAGTTACTCGGACTACATATGGTTGTATTCTACGATGTCCCATCTATCACTTCTGCGATGCTTAGGTGTAATGATGTTCAATTTTCCGAGATATTCTTGAATCTTTCTGGAGCCCATATGCACTCGTGAAACGTCCGGTGATGGCAGCCATTTTGAATGTGACAAGAGATGACCTCAAGCTGTGACGTCGCGTTTATGCAAATTGCTTGTCGAGCGAGGGCGCGAGTTGCAAATGCGACGGCTGTTTCCTGTACCATGCATTTATCGTCTGGGGGCCACGTGCACTGATCTCTATTCAGGATCTACGGCACAGGAAACAGCCTTAGGTTCAGCGCAGCATACCGACGGCCACACTAGTGGGGCTATGGTTGGACATGCTTGCCTAAGTTCTAATGCTGCAGTCTGTGTGAGATTTTAGTGCACTGTCGACGTTGTTACTGCCAATTTCAAAAGCTAATTTACAACAAAGCAGCAAAATTATTGTTCAAAGTCAGTCATTACCTCATAAGGCTTAAGCTATAAAAGTTCCGAGAGCTACGTACTTTCTTAAAGTTTTTAGCAGATTTAATATTATGCGCTAAATCGCAACTGAACTGTACCTTTTTCGCACGATCGATCAAGATCGTTTCATAATCAAGACGCCCTCTCGAGTTTCCTTTGAAAATATTCCAACTTGAGACCAAGACAGAGGGCGCTAGCACTTCAGCTAAGAAACTTTGGGTACCAGTATAAATAGACTGCCATACCGCAGTGATTACTTCGCGCACTTCCCAAAATTAACAAATTACTCACAACTCTACAAGGCGTTTGAGACACACATCAAATTGCAGCTTATTTCATCATCTTGCATTTTCCGTTCATTTTTTTTGAAGGGGGGGGGGGGGGGTCGTTATTGTTAACCAATTACTTTGGAGAAAATTCCATCCAAATGATGATGACCCCTAAAAGCAGGCCTGAAGCCCGTCGCCATTTCGAAAATTGACGCCTACGCTCAATTGCAAAATAGAGCCATTTTAGTTTCTACTTTCATCAAAATTTCAATGAAGTAGGAGCTCGAAGTTTAGTGTGCATTCTGACTGTTTGGAACAAAAAAAACGACACAGAATACTTGTTTCAACAACTCAGTGTCAACAACTGTGGTACACAATATCTTTATTAACAACACTGGTTAGGCAAACAATATGATTTATGAAATCCACTGTTTTTTTTTTTTTAGAGAGACGGTCCTTTAAAAGGACTTTGTTTAATTTTTTTCTAAAACTTGACTAAGGTTTTATCGCTGATGATGTATATAGACAATAATATCTGAGTCGTAAAGTAACTAGGATTGTTAACCGTTTGATTACCAGCCCTACTCTCAATATCTTCCCTCCGTCTGAAAATAATGAATCATCACCCAAGGTTTTTTGCACATTAGGTTATGAATTGAAATGTACCTCTCGAGTAAGACCTATTTTGTGTCTACTGTGACATTATTGCAATAGGGCCTATACGCAATACGGTCAAGGAGTGTCGGGTCCATATTCATAGCACACCTGAACCGTCTCTAGTTATAGCAGCCGCGTGCACTCACCCTAATTATGAAGTATAGCAGCCCCCCAGCTCTGTCAAAAAAAAATTATCATACAAATTCCTAAAAAATAAGTCGAACCCCCCCTCCCCGTGACAGCCCCCCCCCAAAAAAATTATACTGGTATAATGTCCGTCTGTTCAAAATACGGTACACCATTCTGTAATCTAGTGTTAATAATCGTCGAATTTGAACAGCGCCCCCTATTGAAATATGGTTTTGGATTTTACGGAGGCCAAGTGTCCGGAGAAAAAAACCTGTGTACATTTTCAGATTTTTTTGCTGATGAACCCCCCCCCCCCTGCGCAAATTCCTGGATCCGCCCCTGCAATACGTACGAAAACCTCCAAGATCACACACACAATCAGGGGATAGAAAACGTGGGTTCCATGGAAACCAGCGTGTAATCCTCCTCTCATTCTACCAACTCTCTCAAATCGTGTCTGGTTTTTATAGGCATACCTATAATGTCTAATTTTAGCTGGCTCAAACTTTTACGAGTCCTGGAGTAATTATTATAATTTCGTAGCATTCCTCCCATACTCAGTCTAGTCACTATTCTGTTTGTTTTTGGAATCGAAATAGTGCCATGGACGAAATTGTGTTTCGTGAAAGGTTGCACGGGCTCTCGCACTGTTTTCTCGAAAAGTGTCACATCAACTGAGTGGTGTTGTTATTGAAAAAAAAATGCATGAAAAACAATTGATTCTACTAATTATTCCACAAAGTATAATTGAACTATAATTCAGAAAATGATCCGTCACTGTATTTTTTTTCTACGGAAAAGTCAAAATAACATTCGTGGAAATTTCGCGTCCGTAGGCCGTGTGTTGCATCATTTTTAGTCAGAGGCATAACGTCAGCTTCCGCTCTGATGACGTAATTAAAATCGTAACGCGTGACGACACAGCTGCCATGATGTCATGACAATTATCGTAACGGTATGTTGAAAGACAAGTTACTCGTACAGGGAGTTTACGTATACAGAGAGTATGTACGCGCACAGGAATTTATCGTAGGACTTTATACATAACATAAATTATGGGGGCACTAATTATGGAGTCCAACGAAATGAGTGCTGTTAAGACGGAGCACATTGCCTTAAGTCATACCTTCCCTTAATTAAAGAAAACATATATTTAAATCAAAAATAAAATGGCCTGATATTTTAGCCTTAAAGCAAAGGCCTTCTTCAGAGGCAAATGAACTCTTGAATTAATTCAGGCGCAGCCGGGAATATTAAACAAGGGAGGCAAATTGTGTTATTGCGAGCGCGGAGCGCGAAGCCCTTACGGCCACGTGGCTGCTCCGGAAAATTTTGGATTGTAGATGCACAATATAAGTTCCGCAATTTAGCGGAAAATATATTGTGTAGATGTACACGTCACGGAATGTGCCCTCAACATTTTTTACAGGTATTCAGTCCTATTCTGATGAAAATGAGAGGGTTAATAACGCGTGTAAGCTACTAGAACAAAACCCATTCTGTCTTAGAAACTATGACGAAATCTCGGGCAAATAAGTGTTCAAAATTGTTGACTGGTCGTTAGCTGCATTGCATGAATCAACATGGCCGCCTTCTCTCGGATCCGTGGAGCGAGTGTTTGTGAAAGACCCCGGATCAGGAGAGGTGTTTTTCGACAGTTTTATACTCTCTATAGTGCTGACAGAGGAACAAAAGACTGCAATATCTGCATGTTGTATAAACTAAACAAAAGACGCATTACTTTAAAGCTGCTCCACTCGAGCATGCTCCTCAACGTATTTGATTTAAGGAAATTTCAATTTACACCGGCACTTATGGGAAAGAGAAAAAAATCAACCTTCATTTTACAGAACCCAAGAATACACGATTGTACCAAGCGCCAGCCTTGTCAGCTTTTTGGGATCCGAATGCAGACTTCGATTACTTCTCCGACCGTATCGCCCGAGTATTCGGTGTCGAAAGACAACACCAAAACGGCCATGGACACCGCCTCCTACACTAACATCAAGAGTTATTTAATTATCTCCCACTAGCCGATGGTTTTCCCACACTATAAATCACATTGGCTCCAGGATTTCCGTCAGCAACATCGTCGTTGGTTTGATCCGTGCATGGAGCGAAGAGAAACGCAGTCACGGGTTATCTAATTTTTCCGGAGAGGGGCGATTATTTTCCGAACAAAACACTCTGTCCACAGAATGTTCATAAAGTGAGAATCGAGAAAAGGCAACGGTGATAACGATTAATTGTTTTGAAACAATTCAATGTTCAAGACATGTTGCATCAAAAGGCAATCCAAAATAGCGGGCTAAAAGACAACACGATAGGCGAGTTATCAGATTTTCATTGATACCGTCGTTACAATCCTACATTCATGGATACGAAGGTAACATCTATCTTTTGCCAAATCGGACTTATTCTGAGCAGTGAGATGAGCTGTCCAAATATTTGGTAAAAGTACTTGAAAGTTCCCAAATTGCCGTTCGAATTCATGCGTCTGAGCTCTGTGTGATTGTGTATGGCTAACATCACCGACCTCTCCTATTGACATGTCAATCTTGACAGAAAAACAAACGACAGTAAATAATGTACGACCGAATTGTCTTAAGCGTAGCTTTTTCTTATTCTTTTTACTCCATTTCATCCCAATTCCATTTTGAAATGCCTTTAATGATAAGTAATCTCCTAGGTTGTTCAGTTCAATATTCTTTATGAATAATTAAAAAAAAACACCAAAAACACGAAATTGCACTTTATCTTTATACTCAAAACATCAAGTTAACTAAACATTTGAAAATAGTACTATACTCTTTTTCTATCTACCGCAATGTTTATAATTAAACCACCGTGAGTTTGCTGTTTCTATGTCTCAATCTATTACAATGAGTGGTTCAGTACACGCACATTTACAATTGCACAATATTATTATGAATAAATATTTAGTACCATTTCACTGTAACAGATCACATGCCCACACGATAACCCGCAATAATAACAAAAACCAAACTGACGCCAAAAGATGACAGATGCCACCGACATGCAGTTTTATACAAGCATGTCAATGCCAATCATCATTTAACTTAATAAGACTCGTTCCATCTTGCTAGTCTCGAACCACACAAAGATATTAAAAATGTATAGCCTAACCCTTTTTAACCGTCATAATCAGAACGAATATGCCTACATAATATCTAAGGGATCAACCCGTCGCAGAGCTGACAAACCGACGAATAAGCGAAAACCTTGTTTGGAGTAATTCGCGTTTGAAGTTGGACACTTCTCCGGGCGCCGTTTTTTACCCTTAATGTTTCGATAAAAAAACTGTTAGTATATATTCTGAATAAAATATGAAACTAAGTATCCACCAGGTCACTTATTTAATCAGAGAAGTTGTGCGATATGATTTTATTTGATCGTTAACGCATTCGTCAGTTTGTCAAATTACATTAATCTGCAATATCCGGTTGTTCTTCACACTGTTTGTATGCTTTCGTCAGTTTGTCGGATCGCGCGTGCACGCACGCGCAATCCGACAAACTGACGAATAACATTCGTTTGTACTTTGAACGCACACCTTACATAAGCTGGTTACCAGCGAAATGTTTGTATGCTATTCGTCAGTTTGTCGGATCGTGCGTGCACGCACGCGCAATCCGACAAACTGACGAATAACATTCGTTGGTACTTGGAACGCACACCTTACATAAGCTGGTTACCAGCGAAATTTCGTATTCGTCACTATGTCAAATTATGGATTTGTTTTTGTGAGTGATTCGCCACAAGGGGGGCTCTGAATCTCAAAATCCAGACAAATATTAAGAATTTTGGCATAAATACTTGAAAGAGCAACCTTCATAAAGCCTAAAAATAACAAAAAATCGAAATAGCCAAAATGGTCGATTCGCCGGTTTGTCAGCTCTGCGACGAACATTACCGTACAACATAAAAAGTATATACTATACAGTTATGTTCAATGTGTTTTCAGTGTACAACACTATTACTGACTACTGATTTGAACACGACGCAACCACTTGATTC